TATTGTTTATGAATCAGCAAGTTAACTTTAGATAAATATTTCAGTTAATTGCAATGTTTTTGCTGCTCCGGTGGACAAACACTCGCTTTTCAAAGAAGGGTCAGCGTGACAAGTGGGAAAAGTTTACGGACGCTGACAAGCTCTAAACTTTGCCGACAAATTGCTCGACCCGCCACTGACATTTGCACCTGTCCCCCGAATCCACTTTGCCCCCAGATCGGAGGCGTGTATACATACATCAATGTCAGCGGAAGTTTCCCGCTAAATTTAGGATTCTCTTCGGATGGACAAAATGAGGCAGGTCGGAGCGTGGCGTGTGTGAGATGAAAATGCTAAAAATCGAAAATTCAATTTAAACGTCACACTGCTCTACCATCGAAATCATATTTTCACTGCCATATGCGAAGTTGATGTTCCATGCCAGAAACGTGTCGGACGGCCTTCGAAAATCTGGCAAATGTCAGACAGGCTGTCAAAAAAGGCAAACGTGAATGCGGGATCTGTGTATCTGTATCTCATGAATGAATCGACCCACTCAGCAGTTTCCCCTCAATGAACGAGAACGGAAGACCTGAATGCATCATGGATGTGTTTCGGCAAAGCGAAAGCAAATCAATGGCAAATGGCAAAGCCGAAAAAGAACTTAGCAGATGGCATCGTATGTGAGTAGCCAATATAATGGAGAACATTTTCTTGAATGGCCGAAATTGCAGTCCACCTAATAGAGTCAGAGATTTTGTCGGATTTCTGTCATGGTACATCGAAATAAGCTGGAACCATTTTGTTAGGTTTCTCCTTTAAATGATTGTCCCAGTAGATTGCTGAGAAAGAGACATTTTTTGGTAATTGGGCTGAAAATGGAAAGTGAATTTAAGATCCTGTTTTGTTTTGGCAAAGAGACAAATATTTCAATTATTTTACAGCCTTCGAAAAGCAAAGTTCTTATAAGTAAAAGGAGGTTATCTAAACTCTAACCACATTACTATTCTTCTGATTTTTTAAACATTAAATGTTTTCAAAAAGCACTTAAAGTCAAAGCGAATGCCATTGTTACTGCACTCCTCTATTAATCAACTTGAATTTCCGGGCAAGGCCATCAATTGAAGCCGATCAAGTTACCAGTTTCCATGGACCCATCTGCAATTCTCCGATTCTCGGATTTCAGTCAAAGGAAAATATTTACATTTTTCACTTGGCCAAGCGAGCGAAATGAAATACCAAACAAAGGACACAAAATGCGACGAGGCAATAAAGGAAACCGAATAATTGTAGAAAATGCGAAGACGAGCCACTAAAGATGGCAGCCCGAGATGGCAGCCTTGAAGTAGGAGCTACTTGGCGAAAAAGCATAGAGCAGAGTCAGAGCCGCCTGAAAACGAATTAAACTAATATTTATCAAAGAGATGAGCGAGACGTGCTTCAAGCTAAACAAAGGCGACAGCGAAAGCCGGCGCCATTCGAGGAGAAATGAGGAATGGGCCAGGACATCAGGATACTGGGACACTGGGACGGCAGGACATGGTTGAGCGGCTTGAGCCGTTTGAGCAGGATGCCCGGCATGTGCAGGATGTGCAGGATGAGCTGGGGCTGGAATGAATGCGAGTCAGATGCTGCAGCGTCACGGAGGACTAAAGAAAGTGACGCTGTCAAAAAGCGGAATGAATGGACTCTTGCTGTTTTGCCAAACACTGAAACAAAAAATTCAAAAAGAATAAAAACACTATGGTTTTACGCTTAAAGAGACTCTTAAAATATGAATGTGCTTAACCATCAAAATGCTTGAAACCAACTATTAAAATAAAAGATTATTCATTACACATATTCTAATGAAGAAAAAAACTACTCTACTTTTTTCCTGAAAGATAAAACGTTTTTTTGCCAAGTGAATGTGTGCCAGAGTGGCGCGAAAGTTGAGCCAACTTTATGCTAATTAGCAGCTGCTAACCAGCCTTAAAACTTTGCACTTAACAACAGATGGCAGAGGGAAGGGACTTGGAGTATCAGCAGGAGGACGAGGAGGAGCACCAGCAGACATGTGTTCTAATATGCTCCAACCTGGCAGGCCGGAATTTACGGCTCTGACGGTTTTGGCCCACTCTCTGCTCGTTTTGGCCCGTTTCTTCGGCATTGTGGCTTCTGAAATTGGATAAGTGCCGCTTTCTCGCATTTTCGGACAGCTGGGCTCCCCACAATGGACATCGGAAGATATTTTTCGGGGCCATCTCCTTGGCTCAGCACTTTTTCTGCCGTCTCATTCCCTTTTCAAAGCCGGACTGCAGTTAAAGCTGTCGCATCTGCCTTTTCTCCACCACCTCCCCCAAATATACATTCAAAAATATACCATTTATAAGCATATATATATATTTCTGTTTGTGTGGGGGCGTGGGCTTGGGGTAATTGCATTGAAATGGGAAAATAAAACGGCTATAAATATGCCCATTGTGTGCCAGTGCGATTCCAGAGCCAACAATGCGGACCATAAATTAACTAAATTGAAAACCATTTTGGTGCAGCGTTCTCCAGAGCTCGCCGTTCTACCTCCATAGCTGGCAACACTTTTATATTCACTACATTTCATAGAGAACCGGGCGATCTATTGTGGCCCTTCAATTCAAAGGGAGGACTAGACTTTATCAAGAGCTTGGTAATTATCTGCTGGTATTGAATTTAATATAGTTCCTATTTTCCTTTGAAATCGGAATGAATATAAGCGATTCATTTATTGAATCACTGATGCGTTTATTACCATTAACAGATGAATTATATTCAAAGCGTTAGAGCTGGTATTATTGACCAATTCAAATAGACACGATTTTAATAACATCATTTTTGTAAAGGCGTTTATTAGCTGATGACTAACTGTAAAGCAAACATACAAATGATATGTTTGATATGTTTCTGTAAAGCATACATGCATATGACTCTCCAAATGCTTTTCCCGAGTAAATGAACAACCTTTCACGATTTCATGAACTGCATTTAATCCGCTTATTCCTCACACTCGATGAGAGCATCACAAAGTCAACTCGGAATTTTGTGCACAGCTTTTGTGCAGAATTTTTTCGTTTGATGCGCTTTCCGCTCGCTGCGCACATAAATATGCAATAGAAACTTTTCTCACGTTTTTGATTGCATTTTTTGTGCATCGTCATAAATATTTAATGTTTACTTTCGCCAGCAGCCAAAAGAGTCAGAGCAGAGCTTCATTTTTTATACTACCTATCGCAGCCCAGTCGAACACGGTCGAGATCTGTGCACATTTATCCTTGTAATGCCGCCGAGATGCCTTTATTGCTTTTCTATGTGGCCAGAAGTAAATAAATGAGTCTGAATAGTAGAAGATAGAGCAGCCACAATGGGCTGGGTACCCCGCCATGTCCTTATTAATAAGCTCTGGCACGGGCTGTGACCAAAAACCACACGATGCACTTCATTAACTTAATTAAAAATCTTGCCGGGACACAGAGAAACTTGAGCTTTGAAAATGGCGAATATGGGTTCATGACAGGGCGGCGAGTGCAAGTGGTGGGGGTGGCGGATGTGGAAGTGCAAGTGCAAGAACCGCAAAGCGAGTCAATTCCAGCTGAGTGCGAATAATGCGCCTTCATCCGCAAACAGGCACCAACAAACACGCTGCACGCGGAGCGTAAACTCAATTAAAAACTGTCGAGCTGTTGCCGCCACGCCGCATTTCGCCAGATGACTGAAGTTGATTATCTTCATCCAGTGTCAGAAAAACACACTCACATGTCTCTCATGTGAGTTTTTTCCCGCTGCCACTGGTCCGCATCCTAGCTATTCTGGCTTTTTTCTTGCCACAGTTAACAGTGCATGCAAATGGTTTTGCTGGGAAGCCCCTGGAATCTCCTCCATTATGGCTTGCAATTTATATTTTCCTGTTGCCGTGCCAACCGGCAACTTAATTGGATTTTAAATGCAGTTCCATTCATAAATTAGCCGTGTAACTACATACAGCTCTCTGAATGCCAAATGCTAAGTACAACACTGATTATGTAGTTAGTTCTTATAAATGATTTAGTCTTTGGTTGTCCTGCTTTTGTTAAATATTCAGTAGTTTTTGTATGAAAATAGTTCTAGCGAATAAAGTTTGGTTTTCAAACGAGGTAATAATTTATTTATAGATTACACAGTTTTGACAATAAATGGGTGTGGTATTATGGGAAAGTTTTTGAGTTCTATTTCAAGAGAAAGAAGAATGTATTCTTGGCTTGACTTCATCTAAATTCCGAATAAAGCAAACAAAGTCACTCCTTGCGAAATGATTGAGACACACATAGCATACTCCAGCAATGCATACTTGCAGTTGTTGCCACCCACCCACTGTTGCCCCATTCTGGCCCACTCTGTTCAAATGCAATGCCTACAATGTCGCAAATGCGGCTAAGCATGACGTTGATGAAGCGCATGCAACAGCTCAACTTAGTTGAAGGTTTCGAAGCGTGGCAGGTTGCTGATGTTGCCGTTGATGTTGCTGTTGCCGCTGTGCTATGTTGCTGACAATTCGTTGTTAGCGAGCGTTGTTCATGTTGTGGTTGCGTTTGCGTGTGCGGGTTTGTCAGTGTTCTAGACGATAAATTTTCAATTTTGCAACTCGCGTGCGTGTGTGCGCCTTGCCGTTTCCGCCTGTTTAGCCACAGTTCAGCGCAGCACATCGTGGCGTATGATTGATGCCGTCTCAAGCAGAAACCCAGCACACACTCTCGCACCAAACACGCGGCTGCAGACAGAAGCTTATGATATTTACATAAAAAACAAATCTTGCCAGAGGGAGTGGGTGCCGTGTTCGGTTTCCTTTCTTTCCGACGCCTTGATGGAGTAGCCCGACACCCATACAGCCACATAAACATAAACTGGAGCGTTTACACGAAGGACACTAGCACCAATACCAACACCATTACTTGCACACGCTTGACTCCCATTATGTGTTGGGGTCCTTTAATTACTTACATACACCTCATCACTTATCTCATTCATTGCAGCTACACGCGCTCCCGACGTCTGAAGAGTGTCTAAGCCAAAGAGGGAGACAGCTACAGCCAAACGAAAGAGACGGCGCCGCGGGAAAAAGGTAGGTCCTGACTCTAGACAGGCGTTCGCGGATACAAAAGTGCAGACAGTCCTTGTGCCAGATTAGCAGGGAGTAAATTAAAAAAGATTATGTAATGTTTTAAAGAGATGATTAAATTAGAATATGAGCTTCACGCTCCACAATATTCAAGGTGCTATGTGAGCCAAAGATAAGGAAGAAGGACAATATTGCTTAATGTCCTATTTAGGGTTTTGGATTATTTCCCTTTGAAATAAATATACACAATTTCCCTGCTCAAAGCACATTTTCTAGTAGCTTGCTTAACCTTTGGAAGGAATTTAATTTCAACATTATGGCAGGACAGGGAATGCATTCTGAAGAGCACGCTCGGCCCTTGGAAAACAATTCAATTAGTGGCAGCTAAGAGACAAAGTTATCCGGCAGCCATATAAAAAGATTTTATGACTCTCTCATCGGAGGAGATTCTGAATTCTGGATGCAGGATGAGGCATTCCACGGACGCTCACGCTGGCCGGCATCCTCATAAAAGTCAGCGCGAGTATATTGAGTGGAAAATTGTTGGGCCAGCCATGCACTTTGTTGCATCAGCAGCAGCTGGTGCATCAGTTCTTCAGAAACTGCAGATGGAGATTCTTTCCGAAAGGATTAGATTGCATTCGAGCCATCGCATCAGATGTCCCTCGCTTTGTGCTGCAATCAGGCTGAATTCCGTAGGTCATTGGGAAAAAAAAAACAAATCAATGGAAACTGGCCAGGCAGTGGCGAGTCATTACGTTGATTGAAGACCAAGAATAGTTTGTGTTTCACCAAAAGCCAACAAGTTGGCAATTTGAGAACAATTAGCAGTTTTGTTGACACGCCCGTAGAGCCGAAACAATGGCCAGGACAATGGGCTGGAACAAAGGGAGCACTTCGACAGAAATATTTCCGTGCATAAAGGCGAAATGACATTTTTTATGGTGATGTCAGAGCGCGCCAGAGAAATAATTTTAAAACCAATAAATTGTGAAAAAACATCCGACAGCCGACAAGCGACAACAACAGAATGAGCCATAAAACCGACAACAAATATTTGACTTGACAAAACGGGCATTTATGTAACGTATCAGGAGAAGAGCGCATAAATTCCACCGGCGGGAATCATCGATGTACTGTTTCGTACACCCTGGGTGGCCACCATAAATAATCAAATGAAAATAACAAAAGACTATAAGGCGCAACAACCAAATATGCAAATGTCTGTTGTTTTCCTTTTTCTGTTTAGGCTTTTTGTTGCCCACTGGTAATGGCTAAAGCAAAGCGTATTTCGTGCTGTTTCCTGAAAAAGGAAGACGACGCAGGGCCGTGCCCGCAATTTATGTAAAATTCAATGCTTTATTACATCATACACGCACACATAAATAAAAGAAATGTGCCCGAGATGTGTGGGTGGGCCTGTGAGTGGCCTGCCTATATATGCAAATCATATCACTCATACGCCCACGTGAACTTTAAATGCAAAAACATTATCAAAAATGAAACACCAGTGAAAATGTCAGCCCAGCACCTACAGGACGAGAATTCCTAAAGATAAGCAAATGTTTTCACTCGCTTTCTCCTCTACACATGTTTTGTGCACAAATTTTATTATTCACACAAATAAACAAACAAGAACACTCTCACATCCCCAGATACTTACATATGCCTGGCATTTTACCCAAACTGTTCCTGTTGAAGAACACTCTCAAACAAAATTAATGGCAAAGACGAGCACTTTGCTGCCTGCCCTAAGCCTTGAGAGGTAAAGCATAAGCGTTCTTAAATATTTAATTCAGGCTAAAGGATTACCCAAAATGCCACTTGTTTCAAGCTGAAATACATCAAGCTTTCAAACAGAAAATATTAAATATTTCTGAGAGTTAGAGCCTATAAACTATAAACTTGAAAGAGTTGTTTCCCAATATTGTTCTCTTCTGTAACGATTGCTGTCATCCACTGATTGCTTCCCATATTTTGTAGTTCTGTGTTGGCGGGCTGGCATAAATATATGATTCGAAATCAACGCATTCATTATTTACAACCATGCCAACGCCGAGACGAGACGAAAAAAAGTGTAAGGCAATGTAAACCAAGATCAGCTTGACACATAAACATCAAGTGCGCAAGAATTCCACCCTCCCGACGCGTCTGCTGGATGGATGGATGGATTTCTACTGAAAGAGCCAGGTCCCCTCTTTAACTCGCCTTCCCAAAAAAAGGAAAAAGGAACTGCCACCAAAAGGGGCGCCAATGTCGACAGCGGCAATTTAAAATTGCTGGCTTTTTAACTCGCATCCATTTACAGCAATTTTGTGAGCTCTTGAGCCGTGTGTCTGACAGTGTGCGAGTGTGCCAGTGGTGTCCCTCGTGTGATGTGTCAGGTTGAAATTACATCGGCGGGCGGCAGGCACTTGGCAAATGGCAAATGCTCCAAGGATAACACATAAATAAGCACAAAACGAAGAGGAGCAAAAAATTGGAATGTGAAGAGCCTGCCTGCATGAGAAATCAAATTTTATGACTTTATAATTGAAATGCGCTCGCGAGCATATGAAATGAGTGGGCGGTGTTGGCCATTACGCATACGCCCGGTTGGCTACACAGATTTCAATCTCTCCCTAATCTCCTGAGGCTTACAGGACTTACCACCAGTTGTCTCTTCAATTTTTCGGGACTTATTACGTTTTATTTTCCGTATGTTTTCAATGCCTTGAAGGTGGAAATTGTAATGAAAGAAACATCTCCTTATGTTTCTTTTATTTCCTTCTATTAAATTTTCCATTCCTATTTTGAGTGCCGAATTCGTTCACTTACTCATAGCTATTAAGTTTGAATGGTAGCTTAATTTTTTTACTTAAATAAAATGTCCTTGAGTTATCTCTGTTGCCGTTTCCATTTTATTTTGTGGAGAATTTATTATGTGTACCTCCCCTAGAGCCGTCTCAATTTTTCTGTGAGTCACTTGGCTCGTGACTTTCGGTTCTCAGCCACAAATCTGATCAGCTTTAAAAATGCTGTCTGGTAAAAAAAAGGCGAAAGGAGAGCTTAATGCTTCAAAGTGCCGGCGCCAAGGCAAGCCGCATAAAAAAAGGGGGCGGATAGACACAAAAGAGGGCGGGCCGGGCCAGGGGCAGGGGCAGTTGAAGTGCGGTTCGCAGCAGACCATAAACTGCAACCATCAACTGCATTGCATTCTCTGTCGAGTGGCTGCTGTGGGGGATACTCAACGGAGCTGCTTGAAACAATTGCTTGGGATATCTGCAAAAATTAAGTTTACGCTCGCTGATTTTAAAAAGCACTTTATGCTCGCAGCTCCCTGTTCTAGCCCCCTTATCGCCGTATTTATTTTATCTGCTTTCCTGGCTTATTGAGAAGTTGGGGTTGGGCAAAACTTAAGGATTTGCAAGCGTCAGCGCAGCCATAAAATATATTTTGTGTTAACTGAAAGGCAAGCCAGTAAATCCTATACAGCACTTAATAAGGCAGAAGGGGTGGCGTAAATCTAAATTGAAATCTCCGCCAATGCGCCGCAGTAAACTATTTCTTATTTACAACAAAGTGGCTCAACTAAGCTAATAGTTGCTTGGCAGAACAACTCTCGGATGTGCACAGAACGAGTCCTGTCGGCACAGCACAGCCAAGTCGAGCCACTGCGGCAGACCTCAAGACGCTGCCGCAGAAGCCAAAGAAACTGCCAAATATTTGAAAAGTTGTGCCTCCTTATCCGGAATACCAAATACCAGGGCGAGGGGCAGGAGAAACCAAAGCCAGAGCTGGCTGAAAGTTGCTCATGCAGGACGAAGGACATAAATATTAAAACCTATGAATATTTACGTCCCCCTGTCGGCTTTGGCAATAATACAAATAAGGCCACACAGAAAGCGGAGGTTTTTTGAAGCTTTAGCTGCGAAATCGGTCCCCATCACGCCCCCGAACGATTCATAATTAAATTACATTATTTATGTCCCGTTGCCAGGAGAATTCGTCCGGACAGGACAGAACAGGACAGAACCGTCCTGCCTGGAGCTTAAAGCGGCTTACAAAATATTGTTTGCTGACCAAATAATTGCAAATGGTGCTGTGTTTCGGGCCATCTTGTCCCCTTGATTGGGATAATTAACACCAAAAGTCGCTGGAGCGCAATGGACTGCCGCATTCAATAAATCGCACAGTGTCGACACATGAGAACCGAATTCACAGAAAGGCAAATGCTTTTTTAAAGCGGTCGACGACACTTTCAGTGTTTTGTAAAGAAATTCAATTAGGGAGAAATGTATAAATTGTACTTCGACTGCTTCTTCTAGCTCTGACCACGAAAATAAAAATAAATGCGTGGATTTCTGGCCAGGAGCGGTGAAATGCGAAATAAATAAAGATGCGAAACGGAAGCTGCCAAATGAAAATGGCCACAACAATGGCGGAGGCGCCACCGCCTTTTAGCCGCCCTTTGTTTATTTGTTTCGGCAAGTGCCAGTGGGTGGTGGCTGTGGCTAAGGCGGCGTAGGCGTGGCGCTGGCTGTGGCTGTGGTTTGGGCCGGTTGGCGGTGGCTTGGCTCAACAGCAATTCAATAATCAAAAGAAGTATGAAAATTAATACAAAAGGACCGCGCCAGCGACGAAGAGACTGCGGTCACTCTCCCTTTTCACTTTTCCGCCGAATGATTCATCCAGACTCGTGACTCGCGGAAAACTGTGCAAAATTCTTAGCAAGAGCACATGGCCGCCGGGCCATGAAAACGTTGGCGGTTGTTTCTCTTTTTTCGCCTTTTTTATTTTCCATTTTTTCCTCATTGTTTCATTGTTTAAAGAATTTTCCTTGGAAATTGTAACAACTGTGACCATCATTAGGGCGACATGTGCGTGTGGTAAGGTCTTTTGTGAGCTTGGAGGAGTAACGAACCAGAGCCCAGAGTAAGAAAAAATGGAAATAAGCAGAGATATAGCGATATAGAATGAGGCAAGAGGTTTTTCACCCAGCACCTTGAACTTTATTAGAATTTAAATCCAGAATTTGAGCCACTGACATTCGCACTTTATAAGCACGAGACAGTAATGATTTTCTCGCATTTTCTATTTCCAGGCGACAATCAGACAGACCACAATAAGGCACTGAACAGCGGAGAAAAAGATTTATTGAACGAGATAACCCACAAGTACAAGGCATAAAAGTCAATGACCACATCAACTGGAAGCCGCAAGCAGCGTTTTTATTAAGCATACGCCCCCACATAAATTAGTAATCAAGACGCGCCCGAGGCGAAACTAATAAGAGGACTTATTTTTATTGAAATTATTATGATTAATGGCCAGTGCTGAGCTGTACTGGGCGGGAAAGTGACTCGAGTTGCGCAATGAACCTTTGGCTAATCGAAAGCGCGATGCGAGGCAGCAGGTTAGCTGTGGGTTGCTCATACGCCGCGTTGGCCCGTGGAAGTAGCGTTTAATACAAGAAACCGAAATTACACAAAATTGATGGCTGCAACCGGTCACTGTCAACGGAAACTAATCTCCACCGCCACACTGACGCTTTTCATCCTATTCCTGAGCAGCTGGATAGCCTATGCAGCGGCAAAGGCGACGGCGGCCGCTCCGCTCCTGGAAAGCGAGACGGAGCCGTCAGCGCCGGACTTTGCCAACAGCAGTAGCGCCTTTCTGGGCGCCGTGGCCTCCGCATCGGCTGCGTCTTCGGTTACGTCCTTAAGTGGCACTCCGCCCATGAACAGTAGTCCAGTGGCCATAGTCACGTACCAGGGCATTACCAGTAGTTATCTGGGGGATAGTAACACCACCCTAGTGCCCCTGTCGGATACTCCCTTGCTCCTGGAGGAGTTCGCTGCCGGGGAGTTTGTCTTGCCGCCGTTGCAATCTATTTTCGTGAGCATTGTCCTGCTCATCGTCATCCTAGGAACAGTGGTGGGCAATGTCCTGGTCTGCATCGCCGTGTGCATGGTCCGGAAATTGCGAAGACCCTGTAATTATCTTCTGGTATCACTGGCGCTCTCCGACTTGTGCGTTGCCCTCTTGGTAATGCCCATGGCTTTGCTGTATGAGGTCCTGGAGAAGTGGAACTTTGGTCCGCTGCTGTGCGACATCTGGGTGTCCTTCGACGTGCTTTGCTGCACAGCCTCGATCCTGAATCTGTGTGCCATATCCGTGGATCGCTATTTGGCCATTACCAAGCCCTTGGAATACGGCGTGAAGAGGACACCGCGAAGGATGATGCTCTGCGTCGGAATTGTTTGGCTGGCGGCTGCCTGCATCTCGTTGCCGCCGCTGCTGATTTTGGGCAACGAGCACGAGGACGAGGATGGCCAGCCTATATGCACAGTGTGCCAGAACTTTGCATATCAGATCTACGCCACCTTGGGATCGTTTTACATACCGCTGTCGGTGATGCTGTTCGTCTACTACCAGATCTTCAGGGCGGCGCGGCGCATCGTGCTGGAGGAGAAGAGGGCCCAGACCCACTTGCAGCAGGCGTTGAACGGAACCGGATCGCCTACAGCCCCGCAGGCCCCGCCACTGGGTCACACGGAACTGGGAGGAAATGGCCAGCGGCACAGCAGTGTGGGCAATACCTCTCTAACGTACTCTACCTGCGGTGGCTTGAGCAGCGGTGGAGGCGGTGGAGGAACCCTAGGAGTGGGACTGGGAGGTGGACACCACGGCAGCGGCGGAGGTGTCAGCGGCTCCACCGGTCTACTTGGTTCACCGCACCATAAAAAGCTGCGGTTTCAGTTGGCCAAGGAAAAGAAAGCCTCCACCACCCTGGGCATCATCATGTCGGCCTTCACTATCTGCTGGCTACCGTTCTTCATCCTGGCTTTGATTCGACCTTTCGAAACTATGCACGTGCCCGCCTCCCTCTCCTCGCTCTTCCTCTGGCTGGGCTACGCCAACTCGCTGCTGAACCCCATCATATATGCCACTCTGAACCGAGACTTCCGCAAGCCGTTCCAGGAGATCCTCTACTTCCGCTGCTCCAGCCTAAACACGATGATGCGTGAGAACTACTACCAGGATCAATATGGAGAGCCTCCCTCGCAAAGGGTAATGCTCGGCGATGAGAGACATGGGGCCCGGGAAAGTTTCCTCTAGAAATTGTAAATGGAAGCTTGTCAAAGCTGAATGGTTAAGGACATCGATGCAGTTTGGAAAATCTTCTAAAGGATTTTCATTAAAGGCTCGAAACACTCAAATACTGGGAGGATTTCTATAATAATAACATAAAAATTGTAAAGTCACGGAAAGTAATCCTGGAAGAGCTGCTTTTCTGGTAAAACTAAATATTGAAAATCAGAAACTCTTAAATTATAAAATTGTACATTTTAGAAAAAAAAACACTCAATGTGAAGTTATAATTTACCAAAGTATATATGATATATTGATTTTGAACCTTGAGTTGACAGAGAGAAGGAGTTCGAAGATTACTTTCCCATACCCACACATGGATATTTGTATGTAGTAGTGTTAGTAGTGCGTATCTCTGTATATGTGCACCGCCCCTTACATTCGCGCAAGTGCGACCTCGCGGACGACTCCTCTAAATGTAACTTGTTGTTGTAATTTTAAACGTAGAACTAAGCAATCAGTGTGGTCCAGCCACACACCCACCCACACGCACTCACAAAAAACCATCAAACACACACACGGTTGTAACTGTGACAGGTTTCTACGGTTCCTTTTATGTTTCGAAAACAATCAGCACCGAATATGGAACACAATCGTTATCGAATCTATTGATATCCCCACCCCCGCAAACCAATCTGTCTAGCCCCAACCCTAGTCCACTTCCCCTGACCTGAAACAAACAGGAAGAAATGTTTGCCAGAGTAGTTAGTTGATTTGCTATACTCAACCTGAGCCAAAAATTAAATTTACAAGCTGCAGATGCAGACACTAAGTCTAGATACGATTAAAATTACGTTTGTGCTATCCACTGTAAATACCCAGCTCTGTCTATAAAGATACATGCAAATAAAAATATACAATATATATATAAATATACAAGAAGAGTAGCCTATACATACATATGTAGTACGTGTACACTGTGCAGCTCGAGCTCAAGTGAACTAAGAAGTGAACTAAATTGTATTTTGTAACTTTCTGCATTAGTCTTTTGTTGTATTTTGTATGAAAAGTCACGCCTCTCTGTGATACCAAACATTAAGCATTACTTTTATGTTTAGAATGAAGCTGCATCAAACGTAACACACATACAAACCTAAACATATAGATATAGTATCTACTAAGTGTGCATGTTTTTATTGTATGTTTATGTATGTAAGCACTCCGAAAAGTGCAATATGATATTCGCGCCGCAAACCGACCGACAAACGATAAGTAAAAAATAAAAACTTGGTGTTTAAATTGAAACGCAGACACAAGCGAGGGATAAGCTATGAAACTATTTACATAACCCCGACCCACCCATACCCCATACCCCCACTCGCATATATCGCCACAAGAAGATGAGAATGAAATTGAAATTCAAAATGAAAATTAAAATGAAAAACAAACAAAATGGCAAACGAGCATGACAAAACTACGCGCAGCTAATTATACGCAACCCGAAATAAAGTTCATTTCAAAAATAAACATCAAATATTATTACTAAACAAAAGTAATGGATGTAACAACTAAAACCACTAAACAAACCCAAGTAAAGATTAAAAAACACTTTCCGAGTGAAGCTTACAAAACTGCATTTGAAAACTGTTCCCGAAATAAATTGAAATCATGCAAAAATTAAGGCATCAATAAAAGGCAAATCGTATAAATGTAATTTACCTGAATTGATTTGGTTTTTCATTGGGGTTTTTTGTCGATGGGGGTCCTTTCAGGCATTCATCTTTGAAAAATGACCAAAGCATTCCAGCCAGGTGTTGAATTAAATTCAACTCCAGCAAAAAGCTAGTTGCAGCATCTGGAGGAAAACTCGGTGCGCAATTCAACAGACTGCGAGTGGCTTTGCCGGCAAAACAAAACAGTATATATATCTATAACCTAGGACGACTACCAGTGCATTCTGCTCATTGGGAGTGACAAGTTGGGCAAACGTGCAAAATGCACGGAAACGGAAGTTGAAGCGAGAGGCGAATGCGACGCCAACATGGCGTGCATATCAAAATGGCAAAAGGCAAACAGAACCAACAAACATCTGCGGCGGAAGCTCACGAAATGTGCGTTTCTGTATGCAAATTTCAGCCACCTCCTCTGTTTCCCTTCCATTGCTATCCTTTTTTTTTTTGCCACGCTCCGCTTTTTCTGGTGGAAAGCTCAGACATAAACAAGGCACGAGGCTTCGAGGCATGGGTTCCTAAGCAGTTGGTCGAGATTCCAGGAAGTGTAAGGCACTCAAAAAAGGGTATGACAATGACAAAGTGATACGGATCTGACGGCGCCAGCAGCAGAACCACTGCCACAGGCGTATTCACACAAATGGCACCCGAATTGTTCAACAATTCGGTAGTTTTTCAGCAAATTTACACTGGGGGAAAATATTATTCAATTGTTAAAAATACCCAAGTGGATGGTTAACATGATTTTGAGTTAATCTTTTGAATACATTGTACATGGTGAGTCATTTTTAGAAAATTTTATTGTATTGTTTTATTGAGTAAGGAGTTTCTGTTAAAAATTAAAATATTTACTATTTATATAACTGTAAAAATTTGAGATATTCAAGATATTAATTACTACTGAGATATTGATTTTTATTTGTAACATATTTAATAAATATTTGCGCCACCAAATATTTAATAAAACCTTGAATCAAAAAAAAATTAATTTAAAAAAATAAAAAAATTCTTTTGGCATATTTGACAGAAAGGAATTTCCGGCAATATTTTACAATTGAAAAATATGTTTGGAGGGTATAAAAAGAGTGTAAATAAAATGCAGATGCCATTGGAATATATATTTGTTTGATTTTTCCACTGTGCCATTACAGCTCCTGGCTGCTTGCTGATAAATGATGATTTTACGCCCGTTTCTTTCCACTACAAGCTACTCGGTACATGCTAGGATGCCACTTTATGAGGCAGTCAAAAAAAAGTGGAAAGGAACTAGCACACACAAAGGCGCAGCACCCACCCACCGTAGCACAAGGCCACGCCTTCCGCCTCGGATGTGGACGGGGATATGTGTTTTTGGGTCCGCTTTGGCTCTTCGGTTAAGCGGATTTTTGTATTCAAATAGCAACGATGTCGCAAAATGAAAAAAGAGCTGACGACTGCAGCGAAATTGCTGCTGCAACCAGTGAGCGTAAAATTTATCGTATCGCAAGCAGTAAAGTCTGCAATTTTACGAGCACTTTTTCTATTAGTATTTTTCGTGACACTAATGCGACGTTTATGAAACATCTCGAATCGACGGGAGCGAGTCGGCAGAGCTGAGGGAGAAGACCCTGGGAAGTTTCAGGGTCCAGGGGCGAATTGGCCACTTTTAGAAAGGCAAAAAAAAAGAATACGTTTGTTGAAAACTGCAGTTGTCAGGCTCGTAGCTATGAAGTGTTAACAAGCACTCGCCACATAAATCAACTGACAACAGGAGAGACGGCGTCCAGAAAGAACCTTTTCTGGACAGTCCCGAGTCCCCTGAAAAAACAATAAAAGCAAAAGCAGTAGCAGTAGTAGCGGCACGTAACAAAAAACCCCAATTGAGCTCAATTTCCTGTGAGTGGCACTCTTAATTCTAGGGTTTTCTTTTTGCCTTTTCTATTTTTTTTTTTGCTCGTTTTAGGATGCCTGCGAAAAGGCCGCCAAAGTGACTACTTACGAGCGACTAGATTTGTTTCGATAACGCAATCGAAAATCGATGACCCATCCCACCACGGGCCGGGATCCAAATGTCAATGCTGCAAGGTAATACGACAATTTTCCAAATATATTTGCCCAAAGAAATGAGCTCGAGTTTCAGCTGTAAGTGTGGCAAATGACTTTCAGTCCGTGGAATGGCGGCCGCTGCTGTTTCTGATGATGACTACTCTAAGATGTCGGATGTTAAATTTAATAAATATCAAAGCAGCATCTCTGCGAAATGGGAATTTAATATTTTGTGTGGGTATTAAATGGCTCAAGGAGCACTGGAAATATAAAATTTAATCAAGTTACAGTTGTAGGGTACGACATTTTATTTACTTTTCTGACTTTTGTGACAAAATAACCGCAGGAGCAAAACGAATTTTTGTGAGGGATTTGGATGTGGATGTGTGTGGTTTTCATTAAACTTGCCTTGCTTGCCTTTGCATTGTGTACTCGAGGTGTAAGCAAATATTGCGTATACGCCAGGTGGGTAGGCAGTCTCCAAGGCGGCCCAAAAGTATGCAACACGCACACCTCGCCATTGTCAAAATGTATTCAAAACGAATTATGTAAATTATTTCCAGCGCTAACAACTCCATTTCAACATTTCAACGCGATAGGAATCTGCAGCTGGAGGCCCGCTTTCACATCCCATTCCTGCATTGTTATAATTGTGGAAAATGTTTTATTAAATGCCGTCCTGCGGGTCTTGCGTCACTTTCCCAAAAATGAAGAAAGCACGGTGGAAAAGTGAACCGAAATGTCTGAGAATTTGTACAAAATTAAGTTGATTAAATGGACTTAGCAGCGCGATTACACGCAACGCTGCCTGCCCTCGTTTGTCCCTCCCGTCGGGTCGCAAAAATGCTCTCTGCGTGCGGACCGCTTTTCTTTTCGGGTTTCCCGACAACAATACCAACAACACCCACACACATTTGGCAAACATTTTTCATTCCTTCTCGGAATTCATGGCTGTCGCCCTATCGAGTTGGCGGCATAGAGCACAAAAAGTGAGCATCGTCCTGGCAAAACTTTGACCATTGAAATCTCGGTCCCAGGGGAGCAGTCGGCTTTGGTCTCGTTAAATGCTGCATGATTAACGCTTTGCTCTACAAGACAATTGATAAAGAATGGAATGGAGCTTTAAGCCGTGTCGGGCATCAAAGGGAATTAAAATCTACCGTCAGCCCGGCTCTGCAAACAATAGAGAACTGCAGCTTAGTCGACGGACAGCGAAAGGGTATAAGGCCTAAATTAAGTAAATGGACTTTTAAGGATTAACTGACTTTTAGCTTTTATTTTTCGTTGCTTTCAAATAACCTTATCTTTTGTGGCTGACAACACTTTTGATGTCTTAATTTTTTGTTTGAATAAGATATTTATTTGTTAGGTAATTAATGGATATTTTTGTTTAAAAATATATTTTGTAGGGAAATCACGATTCTTCAATTGCAGAATTTTTTCCACTTTTCTCTCAATGCAACGACTTAGGTCGAGAAAGCTGAATGAAAGCGGAAATGCTTGAGCGGCCAAGGAAAGAAAAGCATTTAGTGCAGGACTCACTTTGTTGCCGGCTTCCTAGAGGTCCTTTGTTTTTTCCCAGCCATGAAAACATAACAAAAAAAAAAAAACCAAAATTTCAAAGGCGGACAAAAAATTACTGTGGAGCCATGCTGCGATGGATGCTGCAAGCATTCGAAATGATTAATGTGCTTCTGCACAAAGCACCAGCAGCAGCAGCATTAATGGGCGGTCAGTGAGGCGTTCCCACCGACAGCTAGTGGCTTCATTTTGTTTTCCCCTTACTCGGGACTTCCAGTCGACTCGACACGTACTTCTTTATGCTCCTAAAGAGGCACGGAAAGATTGCAGCACGTCTGGCTCAAAAATCATGTTCGGCTATCAGCGGACCGGCCCATAAATTAACGCGGCGCGCACCACGCTGCGTATGATTAATATTTAGTATTACACAATCTAATGGCCAGCTCGTGAGCAATTCGTGGCAGTAAAGTGCCCGAGCTGAGCTGCCAGTGTACGATCTTAATTTCGACGGTTGCGAGCGCTTAAATCTTTATTAATATGCATGGTCGAGGCCGAAACCGAGGGATTCTCCCGGATCCGTCTCATCGGAGAGGCAAGTGAAAAATGGATTCCATTAGCGGCAGCAAATTTGCCGGCTTGTCCTGGCTGTGTGAAATGAGAATGAAAAGGACAACGAAAAGCGGACAGAAAGTGCATTGATTTTGTAGCACGTGGCATGTTTTACCCGCCTGTCATTTATGTTAATGATTCAACAGAATTGGCATTAGACCCGGGCGGAAGCTCCCATCAATATATTGTACAAAAATTCGGCAAAAAAGTAGGAGATTTTCCTGTTCAACAGAGGCAGTGGAATTTTTGCTAACTGAAATTCTGGGAAATTTTTGCGGATTACCCAAAGTATTTAACGAACTGGAAACTATTTAGTGGGTATCGAAAAAAGTTTCCGCATATATTGGCAAAAATAAATCGCAAGCCAAGCCAGGACTAAGTGCTTTCAAATGGTTAAGCCTGTTAAAAATCATATCATAGAATTGTTGAATTTTCACCGACAGCTGTCATTTAGTTGTTGATAAAATTTACATAATTCGTCAGTTCGATTCCACTGGCACCGACGTTTGATGGTCAACCCGGGAGCGGCATTCCATCATGGGCATGCGGCCACCACTTCGGAAGTTCACAGCATTGCTAACAGGCTTGGTCATGGTGACAACTCTCATGATACGATGGATCATGGCATGCATTCCGGCTCTAATCACCACCATCCACCGATGCCCGTGCACGAGGGACACCACTCCGATTCGATGTCGCACGGCATTCACGAAAACAGTGCTGGAGGTCCCCATGCCCACCACGGGGACGGAGGTGACCATACCGACCACGATATGTCTATGTCGATGTTTTTCCATACCGGCCATACTGAGACCATACTGGTCAAGTTCTGGCGCACTGAATCCGCATTGGCGATAGCGCTGTCCTGCCTGGTAATTTTCTTGGTAGCCGTTTTCTATGAGGCTCTTAAGTTTTTCCGGGAGTGGTTGTATGCGAAGCAAAGCAAAAGGCTGGCAGCGGGCATGGAGATGAGGAAGAGCTCGCGGCGGGACAGCTACAACCAGCCCACGCGGCTGCAAGACCCGTCGCAAGTGTATGCGAACCGGCCCCGATCGCCATCGATGCCGCCGTTGCAGAGTGGCAATACGGGAGCTCAGTCCATCTCTAACAATCCCGCAAGTCCCAGCCGGGTCCGCCATCATCCAGGGAGAGGTCGCCGCATCCAGCCGGAGCCATTGCCACCCGCAAAGCTCCCGTGGCACAAGGTGTGGTGCTCGAGGATGCACCTCTTGCAGACCTTTCTCCACGTTATTCAGGTGTTCATCTCCTTTATGCTGATGCTTGTCTTCATGACCTTCAACGTGTGGCTGTGCGTGGCTGTTTTACTGGGCGCCGGAGTGGGCTACTATATATTCTGCGCCTTCAGCACCCGCATCTACGAGCACTGCAACTGAACGTGGGCAAAAACGAGCTGGAAAACTGGGCCGAAACGGCCCAAAAACGACTCAAAACGAGACGAGCGGCGGAGTTCTCCCAGCTAATGTATTTTTCTAATTAAAGCGAGTTGTAAAAATCATAACGGCCGTGGGCCGCAGGCCTAATTGTTAATGTTAATGGCTCGTAAAACAATGAACGCAGCATCTTCCCCTGGCGGACTAAAGGGGCATCTGCAGAGTTTTGGTTGCGTAGCGTGCTCATAGCTAACGGGGCGTATGCGCAATCTGGAATGGTAGAAAAACTGGGCCAGACGGATTTGAGCCATATTAACTGTTGGACCTTTTAGAATTATTTTTTTTGAAATGATAAAAATGGTCTTTAAATAAAATATTTTTAGTTTAAGATTTTGTTTGAGGTATAAAAAAAATATTCAAGGTGGGATTCAAAGAAGCTTCCAACAAGTAATATCTGCCAAAGGTAGAACCTACCTTTGAGTGAAAATCTATGGCCCTATGAATTTCCTTACCTTATTCGCAGCATCACTATACCCGACCAGCATAAAATAAAAGAAAATGCTTATCTTAGCACATCAAGCGTATCTGAAAGCTACCTATGTTTGTTCTGGTATAGTCTGGATATTTTTACGCGTTATTCGGATATTTTTGTTTCTGGCGTTTTATGGCCCACCCGCATTTACGAGAGTGCCCACATTTTTCTTCACCTGCCAGTTTTGCATTGCACATACATACATACATACAGAACCGTATACGGAGTGTATACAGAATGCTCAGGTGAAAGCCAAGGATGCTGCCAACGTTTATTTGACCGTGTCTGGCACTTTCATTACGCCGTAATTATGAGGGCGATAAACCAGCGCCGTGTTTACTTTTTGGGGAAACATGAAAACACAACATGAAAACACGCTGGCCTGGACCTGGGAATGAAACGGAAATGGAAATGTTGTCCATTGTTGTCGGATGTCTGGACGCGGCCAGTTATCGGGGCTTCCAATTTCAATTAATATTTTAATAAGCTGACTTTACGCCGTTTTCCGAGCGGATAATGCTATTCGGCATTTCCACGCTCCGTTGCCAGTAAGCTGCCCGAATCAGAATTGCCCAGAGCAATCCCGGACCAAAAGTCGTCCACCAGGTCTGGTCAAGGCGAATGCGGCTTTAATAATAAACCAACGCAGCTACATGTGTGCCTTGCAGCAGGTCGCCAGCAATTCCCTGAAGACTCGAGTGCCAGGAGCGGAAGCGGAAATGCATCGATGCATAAAATTCGGGCAGGCACACTGAGCTAAAGACAAACTTGGCCATTCACCAAAGTCTGTGAGGTAATTTAATGAAATATTTCACCAAGGAAAACTGAATTGGTTCTGATGGTGAAACTATTTTGCATACAAATTATTCGAAACTAAAGCACTAATTTAATGAAAGAGATTCCCGTTTAGTACTGAAGTAGGCATAGCTTACATAGCTGAACATAGCCTTCGTTGTTGATTAGCCGAGTTGCTTATTTAAAGCAAAATTATTCGGCGTGGCTCTGAGAAATAATCAGGGCTAATTGATTTACATTTGTGTTTATTGGGCCTCTTTGGCAGAACCTTGTGGACTCAAAGCTAAACAAATAGCTTTGTTGCCAAGAATTCGTTAATTAATCTCCCACAACGCAGTTCCCAGAAAGGCAAAACTACTAGCTTTACTAGAAAGTCAGATAATATTGTTTCTATTGATGCTGTATCCAAGGTCGTAAATGTGTGCGGGCATGTAGGCGTAAAAAGTGGACTCCGTGGCTGAACTGCAGAGCTGAGGCCTCATGGCGGTATAGAATACTCGGCTGATTCGCATTATGGAGTCCAGGAACTTTTTATTTTGCTGCTCCTTGCGGCAATGGGCCATCTTCCGAATCATCCTGGGGTCGTTTTCATTCTTTTCGGCCTCCCGGCGCGGAGGCAGCTTCACTAAGCTTTGTCTCATTATTCGGACCATGTGCTCTATGACCGGCTTGTCTTCAGAATAACTCTTCTCCCTGGCTTCTTGGGAGTAGAGTTTTCCGTAGCGAAAGCAGATCCATTCGAGTAGGTATGGCACCATATGGACATTGGGTAACGTGGGCAGAACGAAACGCTTGTCTTCGCCCACTTTCTCTAGACCAAGCCGCAGCATCTCCTTCATTAGGGGCAGGTTTTCGGGATCGTAGTACTTCTGGCCAAAGTCCAAGCGGATGTCTTTTTTTTTCGCCATCTCCGCTTCTTTTTTTAGTCTTAGTCTCTCCAGCTCCTGGTGGAATGTTTTCACATCATCTTGAAAAACCCGCTTGGCAGCTCTGTCCACCATGGCGTTAATGGAGCCCTCCTCCTCGCCAGTCAGTGCTGCACTCAGATACTGCACATCGTCATCGATGGCCCTCACAAACGCCTCCTTCAGACGCATCCTCTCATCGTCCAAACGAGTCGTTTGCAAGGACCCGAAAATCTCCCGGTAGTTAAACTTGACGACATTTGTACCTCCGGGTCCCAGTTCGAAAATCTTGCGGGATTGAGCAGCTCGAGCAGAAGGAGTGCCATTCTGTGGCTCCTTCTCCTCGTCCTGTTCACTTCCGCATCGATTGAGGAACTGCATCAAGCTGCTGGGACGCTGTTTCAGGTGTTGTGCTTTCCGCTGAGGCAAACCGACATAGGGATCGTATGTCTGTACCTTGGCAGCATCGGCGATTTCGGGTCGAAAGTCAGGACATCCTGGCACAATGGGTCTTTCACCCTTTAAAAGCTTTACCTCTATATCGGTTGTACTTTTGGGCTTTTGTGGTTCTAGTGTAGAAACTACATCGAAATCGACAGATTTTGTATTACTTCCACGCTTTTTGGCTTTGGAACGAGATCGTTTTTTCTTGCTTAGCTTTTTTCTTTTGGATTTTGAAACAACTCCGCCCTTAAGCCTCAGACTGCTTTGCGGTTTGCGCACCTTGATCTGGAATTTTTCAACAGGCTCCAATTTTTTACAGACCGTTTTTTTAGTAACGATCTTCTCACAGGGTTGACAGCAGTCTTCCGTCTTTTCAACGCACTTGTCAACTTTAGGACACCCGAACGTATAGCCCTGGACATCACCGCCTCCAAAGAGTTTGGTTCTTGTGGAGGCCAATCGAGTGCGGGCTGCCATTTCTTGGAATCGTTTCAAATAACTGGCACTCATCTCCTCCAGCTCTTGTATTACCAGCTTTTTTCTTCGCTCCTCGGCTTTCGATTTTCCCTCGATTAGCTCCTCGTACTTTCTGCGTTTCAGAACCTCCAACTGATCCTTTAGCGACTTCTCCATTTCGCGCAAATAGCGATGGTGGGCACACAAGGACTCCACATCACTGGGTGGCAAAGAAGCGGCCTGGAAGGTCTCAAAGATGTTGCTGATTTCTTCATTTACAATCGATCTTGCCACACTATGAGCACCGCTGAGTGGGAATATTTCCTTAAAGTTATAGAACATAGTGTTGATTTCCTCATTTATAACCGTCCGTGCCACTCGGCGTGCATCACTCAGTTCGTAGTCCCCAAACCAGCGCGTCCAGAGGGGCGACATTTTCTCCTCATCGGGCATTTGGTAGAGAAAAGCAGGACGATCTGGATAGTCGGACAGCAACTTGCGGACTGGCCTTTTTCTTTGGAAAGGCTCCTCGAAATAGGGAGCAAGTTTTGATGGGTTTCCCTTCTTGGCCAGCTCTTGCTCCCGCTTTTTTCTTAAATTTAAGCGTTTCTGTCGTCGTGCCTCAAGGCGATCTCGCTCAGCCTGCGAGGCATGCGGCAAGGGCAGCCAGCGATCCAGTTCCTTCAGGGTGGGAAATAGGTCGATCCAAAATATAGCCGACAATATGATCTGCTCGTTCACACTGTAGGTGCGTCCGTGATTGGGTGTCTTGTAGCACAATTCCATTAGAAACCAAAGAAAGGCCAGGTCATTGCCCCTACTCAGTTTCATTGCAGTTACCACATTATCCCAGGTGGCTTTAGGGTGCACTCCCAATTGCTGCACCAGCTTCACTACCCTGGTGGCCGTGTTCTGATCCAGGTCATCCCTGAGCGCGGTGGCCATCTTGTCGGCAGCCTCCATTTGGGCCAAAGACAGACCGCGGTACCAGCCTGGCAACCCTTGTATCAAACGCTGGGTCCTTTGGCTGTAGCTACCAGCTTGGTTTTCTTGAGGAGGTAGACGCATTTTAATTTGAATTTAGCTCAGAAAATTGTAGCAGTCACCAAAATCGTGATGAGGCGCAAAAAAGAAATAATTTTGTAATCCGTGTATAAATAAATTTTGGGTGCAAGAGTTAACACTAAATCAAAGGTGTCATTGAACTTGTAATCACACAGTCAACTCGTTCTTGACAAACTTTTCAAAGATTTTTTTGTAAAATAACTTATTTCACTGATAAAATGATTGGATGATTCTTCGCACTTGTTCGAGGCGTGTAATTAATCCATTTTAGGATGAAAAAGGCTTCCTTGTGCATGTCCTCGAGTAAAGGTTGGAGTTTAAAGTAAAACTTCTTCTTAGCTGGAAGTAGCAGGATTGGCTTCAGTAGCTGCAATGTGCAGGATGCTGGTCCCTGGGGCCTTGGCTGACATTCATGGCCTGAAATTATAGTTTTTAGTTGCGTCTCTTTACTTTATTATATATAATTCATAATAATACTTACAATAAACAGGCTCAATACTTTTTTCTTACTTAACCAGTTCAAAAGTCTTCTATTTAACCTTAGTTGCTGATTCCAGAAGTGCTTAAATCTTGCAGAATTGGCTAAGAACTAGAGCATTGGCCAAAGATAAATGATTTGGGCCGGCAGTCCGACATTTCGCTGCCAGTCCAAGTGACGCCTAGAAATCCCAAATTCGTCACACGGCTGCTGGTCCGGCTCCTTTACGTGGGTCCTGCCAGCTCAAGGATGTGTGTGTGTGTTTTAGCCCGAAATGCTATAAATTGTCATCGCATGCGAGTGTCGCCAAAGTGTTTGTCACAAGTTGCCATCCTGCAAATCTTCCATTTTGGTGTTCTATTCTTTTTGGGGCGCCGAGATTTTCGGAGGAGGCGAAACTGTTACGAGTGTATCATTAATTTATTAGCAAACCAAATAGGAATGTTTTTGCCTTCACGCACGCCCGGACACACACACGTGCTCACCTACCGTCCCAGGTCCCATTTCCCAGTCGCCAGGATGTTGGTCCCCACAATTAGCCCTAATGCTCGAGGGTTCGTCGTACTGCTATTCGTCCTGCCGGCATCTTTGATATGCCATATAATTTATGACTTTCCACTGTCAATTAAATTCTTTAGAAAATGACAGTTTTGCCATTTGCTGACATCGTGATCCCTCCTTGCTTTCTGTTTCTGTTTATGGTTTGGGTTCCATTTCGGTAGCTGGCAGGTCCCCATGATTTATGCATCGCCTTTCTCCGCCAGCATCTTTTGGCCACGAGTCCTTTTGTCTTGGCTGTGAGTATGCGTGTGCTTATGAGTGTGTGTTTGTTTGTTTTCTGCTAGTTTTGCCCTTTTTTTCGGGAAGACCTATTTTTTCTGTTTTGGTTTTGCTCTGGTTAGGTTAGGATAGGTCTTGCGGCAGCCTCGACACGTGGCCAACGCCTGCAGAGTTGTTTATGTTAATGACCCGAACAGGCTTAGGAGCTCCTTCCTCCTTCCGTCGTAGCACGGCGATTGGCATGTGTTTCTGCTCATTGTGCCCGGCTTTCCCAGCTCCTGTACTTCCTTTTTCCTATGCCTAGTGGGTGCCAGATCTTAATAATAGATATGCTCCCATTGTCAGGTGGAACTTTTCGCATCAGGCATATATCAAGGAAATTAAAGTGGTTCTTCGGGCCCGAAAAAGGCTGTGACAACTTTTTTCTTTGCCATTTTTGCGGATTGCGTGACCAGGTTTCAGGGGTTGCCAAAATTGTTATAGTTACCAGTAACCAGTAACCGTAACCATTACACTTTTCCCCCTTTCGAGGAAACGTCTCTCATAAAACGAATGCCCCTGGATTTATGGCAGTTCATCGGTTATTGATGTCGTCCCCAAAAATATGTACACACAAATGAATTGGGGCACTTTTTAATATCGCGCTGTTCATGGGGGCATGGGAGCTTTCATTTTTTATTTTTGGCTCTGAAATTGATAAACTTTGCTCGCAAAAGGGGGAAAGCGATTAATCCAACTGTTCGAGTTGCAATTACTACTTTTGCCATCAGTTTCGTTTATTTATGGAACATACTCGTCCTTCGCCAAACTTGGGCACTCCATCAATCATTCTGCTTTTCTTATATTGTTAGTTACTTTTCCATCAAGCGTTTTAGTTTGAGGTGTAATTTCATAGATAATTCCAGATATATATGTGCTTATATCTTGGTCGAAAATAACATGATAAAATAATCACTTCCCTCAGTAAAATACTTTGAATTATGCAGGTTATTCAGCCTATATTTAAATTAAAACATTCCTAGGGATTCCCATGATTCTTGACTCAAATTTATTTTTGGTTGACTTTGGGGATTGCGGCTTGGTCCGTTCTTAAATCAGATTTTCGCGCCCGAACGCGTTCGCTGTTTTCCTTAACAATTTGCGCTTGAGTGATTCCGCATCTTGGGCGACCTTTCACCTATCCGCCCACGTTGAGGCGGCAGGGGGGTGCGGAGGGACAGGGCTTCCCGCCGACTGGTATAAGCCGCAAGCCGGGCTTATGGTAAGTCGCCGGGTTCCTCCACCGACGTCTGGCTTTATGGCGTCACGTGCGAACACCGGCTGGAGCTGGGATTATAAAGTGGGAGTATGTTTGGGAATAGCTGGCGGGCCACTTAACTTATCTGGAAATGAATGAATTTGGCTAGGAGATAACGGGAAGCGTATTGAAATTGGCAAAAAAAAAAAATAAAAATAAAACTGTTGCTCAGCACGTGCTTGTAGCTCTTGACAACTTGGCATTATTCAGATACAGAGACGTTGTAAAAGTGAAAGCATGTACGCATTGCGGGGCATATATGTATATTCCTGTACATATTTTTTACCCCTTGGCGTAATTTAACGAGCTTCTAACTTTATGTTTGTTTGTCGTGTATACACATTTTGTTTTTATTGGGGCTTCAGAGAAGGCTTCCTGCTTAAGTGAAACATTTTTAAAGGCGGAACCCCCAGCTCAACAGTTTTCGTTCGGTTAATGCGAAAAAACCCCAAACATGAAAAAGAGGAAAACCCGGCAGTACTTCAGCTGGTGAAAGAATAATAACTGGCATTTGCTCTGAGCCAGCTTGTTGCCATTTTCCCTTCCTGTGATCCTCAGATCCTGTGGTTGTTGTGCTGTTACATTTGTGTTTTTACTTTTATTTATTTTTTTCTTCTGTGTCCTGGGACCCCGGGGCTTGAGCAAATGCACGATGCTTAACTTTTTTTGTTGGATTTTTTTTTTCATTTTCCCGCTGAAGTTTGTGTGTTTGCTGTTCGCCATTTGTTTATAAATTTAATTTGTCTTAGGCCAAGAGCTGCGTCAACGACTTGTTGACTTATGGAGCCAAAGTTTCCATTTTACTTTCGGTTTCCCGCCTTTAATTTTCAGCTGCCAAATGCGTTTTGCATATTTAGGTAAGGATTTAATGCATGGCCAAGTAAATGGAAATTCATAACCGAGTTAGTGAAAAATTTATACTCCAGCTCGACAATACCGAAGCCAACTCACCGACTGTGGCCCAGCAATAATGCCAAGAGTAATATGCAAAATATCCATGCACTCCTTTGAGTTTCATGTGGCTGTGAACTATCCACCCAAAAACCTCCCAAAACCCTCAGTTTACCGCAAATATAGTGAGTGTGTTTGGGAAGGTCTTTGTGTCTTGATATTTTATGCGTTATTGAATTTCACTTAAAGGCAGCTCATGCTTGCTTATTTATATTGCCGGGGATGGGAGTGGGTGGCAAATGCCACTTGAACAAAGTTCTGACTGGTTTTTTTGTGTCTTCGGGGCATGGGAATAATTTTTTTTGTTTTCCACAGGGAAATAATATTCATATGGACCGAAACTTTTGGCAGGAAACTCTTTAGCCTTAAAAGTTTGCAGTTTAGAATATGATACGTTTATGTAAAATTTGTACCACTCATTATAAACTGCTCTCTGCCTGAAGAGGGTTTTTTGTGAACTTGGGTAAAGTGTTGAGGTGTCGCAAAAAGTTGGCAACGAATGCCAATTAGGGCTACTTCCATTATACTCCACTGGATAGCCATGGCACTTGAACACCTCTATGAATCTTAGTGGAGTGCAGGACTTCTGGTCCACAGGTTGCCGACAATCACCAACAGCATACGAAATACTGAAATGTCGGAGCGTAGTTTCGGGCCAATTGACTGAAGCGTCAAGCTGACACGACCATGGCAAATAAAGGTCCGCGTTTGGTGGTTTGTTTTTCCAAATACAACTGCAAACACACTCACACACAGTTCCTAAAACATTTGCCAAACAAATACACCCACGCAGCGCCAAAACTCCAACACCAGCGCGCACTTTTCTGGGCACTCACTCGCCCTGGCCGGGCGCCAAAAGGTATCGAGTTTTGCAGTTGGCAGTGGCAGTGGCAGGCGGCACTAACTGAAATTAAACATGAAAAATGCAGCAGTTTTCCAGGTGAGGGGTGAAGGTTGCCTTAGTGCCAAAACATACACAGGAATAAAGTTTGACGTATTTGTTAATAAAAAGGAAATAATTAGGATTTAACAATATTAAAAAGGGAGCCATCTTTTAAAACTAAATATTATAGATAATTGTGACTCCCAACAGAGTAATACATTTTTGAGGCATTTTCCCCGGTGAGTTAGTACCTTTCTTCGGCCCGGTGGATCAGTTGGTGCGGTGGATCCTGTCCAACGAAAATACAACATAGGCGATGGGTATATATGCATGCTGGTTGGCTAGATGTTCGGGGGAGTGGTGGCCTTTGCTGATGGATCCAAATTGTAAATTATGCAGCACGCCAAATTTGAAATGCAAACAAACTAGCCGTAGAACACAACTGCCGCAGTGTCCAGCCCCCGTGTGGGCAATGTTCTGAATTGAATAATGAGGCTGGAAATGGTAAGAGGAATGAGATGGCCACCGTGTTACCAGAAACCGTTCTCCAACTAATTCAATTACAAGTTAAATCGAAACCAAATTAGTAAAGCCCAAAATATAGGAACCACTAATAGATTAAATTATTCATAGACTTTAGATTTCATTTAGACTCTAAACTAGATATACTACAAAAATCTATAATTAAATTTTTCATTTAAAGCTTTAGGGAA